AAGGGCTCGTTCTCCCACGGCAGCCCTGGGCCAGTGGCTGAAATTCCACATTCCCATGACAGGGAACGAGCGGGGCAGACAATGGTCAGCATTAACGTGCCTCGAATTAGCTGGATTAAGTTCGATATCTGAACATGTCCGTGATGCACCCCCCGCCCCCCTCCATCCACCCCCCTCATTTACGAACCCTCACTGACCAGCGTGGGTGAAGTATGGTCACGCAGCCCCCACGACACGCATAGCACGGGGAGGCATTCATCCAGCAGTGGAGTGGCAGAGGACTGGATGTTATTTTTTTATCATTAGCATTATCAGTATGGTGGGGGACAGTCTCCGCATGCAACTCCAACTGTTAACTTCCCACGAAGTGGTACTTATTTTATCAACCCTAGAAAGTATGATGGGCTGAGTTTAACCACCCCCCAACCTCCCCCCGTATGAATTTTTTTTTTACTCCTAAATATTTATGTGAGAGTCGAGAGTTGCCCGCTCTGAAAATAATGCGTTACCATGAAACCGGCGGCTGGCATTAGGCAGCAGCGTCGCTCTGGTGAGCCGACTCTGGTGAAGAGACTGGTGAGGAGACTCTGGTGAAGAGAATCTGGTGAGGAGACTGGTGAGGAGACTCTGGTGAGGAGACTCTGGTGAGGAGACTGGTGAGGAGGCTCTGGTGAGGAGACTCTGGTGAGGAGACTCTGGTGAGGACTCTGGTGAGGAGATTGGTGAGGAGACTCTGGTGAGGAGGCTCTGGTGAGGAGACTTGTGAGGAGACTGGTGAGGAGGCTCTGGTGAGGAGACTGGTGAGGAGTTTCTGGTGAGGAGACTCTGGTGAGGAGACTCTGGTGAGGAGGCTCTGGTGAGGAGACTCTGGTGAGGAGGCTCTGGTGAGGAGGCTCTGGTGAGGAGGCTCTGGTGAGGAGACTGGTGAGGAGACTCTGGTGAGGAGACTCTGGTGAGGAGACTGGTGAGGAGACTCTGGTGAGGAGACTCTGGTGAGGAGGCTCTGGTGAGGAGACTCTGGTGAGGAGAATCTGGTGAGGAGACTGGTGAGGAGACTCTGGTGAGGAGACTCTGGTGAGGAGACTCTGGTGAGGAGACTCTGGTGAGGAGGCTCTGGTGAGGAGGCTCTGGTGAGGAGGCTCTGGTGAGGAGACTGGTGAGGAGACTCTGGTGAGGAGACTGGTGAGGAGTTTCTGGTGAGGAGACTCTGGTGAGGAGACTCTGGTGAGGAGACTGGTGAGGAGTTTCTGGTGAGGAGACTCTGGTGAGGAGACTCTGGTGAGGAGACTTTGGTGAGGAGACTGGTGAGGAGACTCTGGTGAGGAGACTGGTGAGGAGTTTCTGGTGAGGAGACTCTGGTGAGGAGACTCTGGTGAGGAGACTTTGGTGAGGAGACTGGTGAGGAGACTCTGGTGAGGAGACTCTGGTGAGGAGACTCTGGTGAGGAGACTCTGGTGAGGAGTTTCTGGTGAGGAGACTCTGGTGAGGAGACTCTGGTGAGGAGACTTTGGTGAGGAGACTGGTGAGGAGACTCTGGTGAGGAGACTGGTGAGGAGTTTCTGGTGAGGAGACTCTGGTGAGGAGACTCTGGTGAGGAGACTTTGGTGAGGAGACTGGTGAGGAGACTCTGGTGAGGAGACTGGTGAGGAAACTTTGGTGAGGAGACTCTGGTGAGGAGACTCTGGTGAGGAGACTCTGGTGAGGAGACTCTGGTGAGGAGACTGGTGAGGAGACTCTGGTGAGGAGACTGGTGAGGAGGCTCTGGTGAGGAGACTCTGGTGAGGAGACTCTGGTGAGGAGGCTCTGGTGAGGAGACTGGTGAGGAAACTCTGGTGAGGAGACTCTGGTGAGGAAACTGGTGAGGAGGCTCTGGCATCACGTGATGCGCCCTGAGCCTTCCGCTGCAATGGGCAGCATGGGGGCCGGCAGCCGTCAGTGGCAAACCACCAAGCTCCATTCACAAGTCGGGGAGAGAGGCCGACCCAACACTCCGTGTTCCCTCCATCAGTTTAGGTCTTCAAAGGATATATCTTCCCTTCATTACTCAAATTGTCTGCTTGCTCTCGCGAGATACCAGTGGCCGGTATCCTAAAAACGAGTGGCCCCAACGCAATGATGGGAATTCTATATTAGTACGGCGAGGGTCGGTGTGTTTCTGATACATCCACTGTTAACTTCCCACAAAAGAGGCACAATTTCTATTGACCTTGGAGTCATGACGGCCTAAGTGCCTCCTGATTAGCATAATCATCATCACTATCATCATCATCATTATCATTTATGTCAATACCATCACCGTCATCATCACCATTTCGTGGCTGACAACACAAGCACCAACCTGGTAAGGCTGCACCACTTCGTGCACGGGAAGTCAACGGTTCTTTCCCTATGGGTGTACTGGGCCACACCAAAATAAATAAAGTATTTCAAGAACTAGCTCTGGACTGTCAACCGATGGAATATTACCCCGATGCACAACTGGGCACTGCAAAAGGACCATTACCCGAAACGTCACCTGCTGTATTTTTTTTTCCTTTTTACTGATGAAAGTGTTGAGTTTTTTTGTGATAATTGGGCACTGTAAACGTTGACATTTTCACTTTCTGCAATTTTAATTGTCGAGAAGACATTGGCTAAACCAGAGCAAAAATTCCACATCCACAATGAACAACATCTGCTCTCAGGGTGAACGGCTAAAGGCCAGCTGTTCTATATGTGTAACGTGATCAAGCAGTACTAAATACAGGAGACACTAAATCCTGCCCACCCACACTGGAAAAATAATTTAAAAATACATAGGAAAAAAAACACTGGCTAGTTGTTTTGTCGATCTTTATTTAGAAAGTGATCAAACTTAAGAGCTCCGTTCGCTGCACGGATTTGGGAGCATCGGAATAAATTCCAATTGACGTTAAATCTAAACGTAAATGTGTTTTCTTTTTTTTACCACCAAACGTGATTGATCGAGAGGCGCAGCTTATCTGTGCCCCCTGTTCTCGCCACGGCGTGCAAGCCGCGTCAGTGCTACATTTGGGCGACAGAGATTATTCAGCCCGCTTAACGATCAACATTCAAGGTCACGGCCAAAGAAGAGAATTGCGCCAATACCGTTCATGCCCGCCGAACCTTAACCATTGCTTCCTTCCTTCTGCTAGATTCTGCAACTGTTGCACGGTCGATAACCAAACTCCAGAAGTCTGCTCTTACAAAATCTCACCATCTCGGCCTTGGCCTCAAACACAGCCCTCTTGGGTGCCACTCCCAATGCCTGGCACGGTAACCTGTCCTCCTCACACACTGCACGTGTCCCCACCCATCGAAACCTCTCTCTTCGTGATTACAATTAACACAATCAACACGTTTGTCAATAGCAATGTGGCTTTAAAGTAAACAGTCTATAATAGGTGATTATTTTTGAAAAACAGTTGATTGAATGCGTATGCATGTTGAACTTAATTCGCACCGTACGTAGACAATCGTGCTAATCGAAGGTGTGGGGGAAGGACAACAAACTAAACAAACACAAAAAGCAGTTCGAAAGAAATTAGCTTTAACTGATCTGTCCTTTTGTAAAGAATGCGAAGATTTTTAACGAGGCAAAAAAGCTCGCAAGCAAGAAGCGTCTACCTTGAAATAAAACTGAAACTCCAAAGATGAGACCTATAAACGTAATACTTTTCTCGTCTTTAAATTGCTGTGCCTCTCCACAATAATGTCATAAATATAGTAAAATCATTAATGTGCAAACCACAACTGGAATTGGTTTCAGAGGCTTTTAAGCGAGAGCTTGGACTATTTTGTCATCCAAAAGTGCAGCTTTATGTTTTACGTAGAGTTAAGCATTCATACATAGCATATTTAAAATATATATTTCAATATGTAGATGTATTTGAGTCTAAGTGTCCTCACATTTACATGAGCGTGGGTGGACACTCATCTTTGCTGGAAACCGTTGGTGAAACGTTGAAATGATAAATGCATATGGCGAGTATCAGTTTATACTTAAACATTTTACGTAAAAAAAAAATCCATGATAGAAAAAAATATATTGAACTTTTTAATAATGATTAAAGGCAACTATATTTGCCTAACACTCTATACATAATAATACATCACGATAATTATAACATTTCCAATGTAAATGATAGACTAAATACTGTAAGTAGCCTCTGCCTACATATTACAATTATATATTTGAATGCTATTTTATCATAGTCCTGTATTGATTTTTCACCCACAACACATTTTCTCCTCTACCTTTCTAATTGTTAGTCCGATTTTTTTTTAATGAATGTGCTGAATCTCATCTGGTGTGCACACACATACATACACACACAAGCATACAAAGGTCCCCCATATAGCCTTAATATACTCTTCGGGCAAGTGCTCTTCGCGTGCATTTACGAAGGCCGGCAATGCACACGAGGGGGTAGTGTGGTCAGCATCATGCCTGGTCGCCTTTGTCTCCCCAGTCCTCGTGCTTATATGCCACACCAGATACTCACTTAAGGCTGAGTCAACCTACGGGAGGCCCAGGACCTGTTCAGATATTCACTGCTATTGTTATCCATGAGTGGGAATCGAACTCGGGTCGCCAGTTTCCCAGTGAACTACACTAACCACCACTACGCCACATAGCATATGAAGCGTGTCGTATACACATGAGTACACATGCATACAAAAATAAAGATCGCCCATATAGCCTTTAACAGACTGTTAGGGCAAGTGCTGTTAGCCACCTATACATTTGAGGCTGAATAGTCCGAGGGGAAGCTCAGGATTGGCTCAGATAATCGTCAATGGTGTCGGCCGTGAGCGCGAATCGAACCCAGGTCGCCGGATTTCGCAGCGCAACGTCATCACCGCTACACCACCGCTCCCCATGCGCACACGTACAACAGCAACCGCCGTTCGCCGTGAAGTGGCGGCGACTTTAAGACCACGTACACACGCGTACGTGCAAACACGCACGCACGGAGGGAGAGTGTGGGCGCGTTTACCTCGTCGTCCTGCGGCATCCAGGCCTCGACGGCATCGCGGGTTCGGCTCACGCTGTCGCGGCTCTCCACGAGCCACGAGCAGCACAGGGCGTCCGCTCTCTCCCGGCTGCAGCGGCGCACGTGCTCCTCCAGCGCCGGTAGCGTCAGCGGCATCGAGTTCCGCAGCGCGGGCACGTCTACCAGCCGGAACCCGGCGTACCTGACACGAGGCAGCAACTTATCCATCAGCATTAGCAGCAACAGTAGCGGCAATACCATCACTAGCGGCAGCATCATCATCATCAGTAGCAGCAGCAACAGAAATGCAGTATTCATAATTATCTCTGGCAGCAGCAATAATCCCATCAGAATCCTCATCAGCAGAAGCAGCATCTATAGCGACATATTCATCACCAGCAACACAAATATCATCATAAATAGCAGCAACATCATTTTCATCAGCAACATTGTCATATGCAGCAACAGCAGCAGCAGATCAACATCATTGATTATCAACAGTATCGGTATTTTTTTGTTATAATAATCAACAGCACCACTGTAGTCCTGACCAGGAACAGCAGCAGCAGGAGACAACACATCTCATGATGCCCTTCTTTTATTCCCTAGTTCAAGGTCAAGAGGTCATCATTACTAATGACATTGATGCCACCACACCCGGCCTTTAGCCTCTTTCATTCTGCCCCGGGTCTCTTGGGCTGCTGCACAGGAGACACCCAGCCAGCCGCTCAGGGCCACTCTTACAGCATCCCAACATCTGCTATTGGATCATCCCCTTGATTGCCAACCCCTAGGTGCCACATCATTGACTACCTCGGTAACTGACCCTCCTGCATCCTGCCCTGGGGCACCACTCATCACAAACCTCCTCCGACTCCTGCTGATGACGCCTTCACAATACTTCTTTCCACGCTATAATCTTAACATTTCGAGTTGCTCACTCTTATTTATACTTGTGCAGAAAACCTCGCAAATCTCTGCGGACGCCTGTGTTGCAAAGAAAAACGAGGCCGCTTCATTTACGTGCTCTGTTTAAAATCAGCTCTTGTAATGTACCGATGGAAAAAACAAAACTGCCAAGAGGAACGAGTCATTTCCACCAATGCCTTAAGGGGCTGACTGCAATGAGCAATTGCACAATACTCTACCCAGCATAGGGTTATTTTTGATATTTGGAACAATGTGATTTTTTTATGGATTACGTTTAAAACTGCTGGAGACATAGAACAGAAATAATAAGTCACGGTTTCAAATAAATGTACAAGTTTATTTGGTAAAAAATAACTGTAATAATAACTCTATTTGGATCCGAGATCGAGTCAGACATACGTATGCCATCATGGATTGGCCATAGACCTACAAGAAAAAAAATACTCCCAGCTTTGTTTCAAAACGGCCAAGGAAGCCAAATAATTATTATTCTAAGGGGAGAGAATTCCACACATGTGGAGCCACAGAACGGAAGCAATGTGCACATTGCTGGATATCTGTTTGATGTTTGGAAGATATCAGTCTGTTGTCAGATATCCTAACAGACAACAGGAGTCGAAATGTATTTTTTAAAGCATTTATTTACACAAATGAGAAATACGTGTTGTTCACGTTCATTGTGGCTCTGAACCAATGGTGAGAATTCCACATTCCTATGGCGGGGTCCGGTTTTTCAACAGGAAAACGATAGAGCACTCCTCGCTTTATTAACTTGGGCGCCACGGTTGCGAGATGTTAACTACCTTGCCTGGTATACAGGAGGTCGTGGGATCGATCCCGACCCTGACGCCTACTGTTGCTGCTGCTGTATATTTGGCATTGGCATTTTCTTTCTCTTTCTGTGGTCGCATGAATTTTTCTCCGGGTCCTCTGGTTTTTCCCTCCACATTTCGAAACATGCGTTTACAGTATTTGGCTGCGATACATTTCCACACGATGAGCCACTTCGTTGATAAATTTGGGGGTCGGGTCACTTCTGAAAAAGAGCTATACAGCTCAGTGGGACTTAGCTGGTAAAATAAAAATAGAAACCTCACAGGTACAACTGACCGTGTCGGCTCCATCTGGAGTCTGACCTGGTGCCTGCTAGTTGGTTTCTCTTTCGCAAGGCCACCTGGCCGGATATACAGCAAGGCATAGGGTTGCCCTGATATCGGAAAACTGCGAAGCATCGTGCGATATTGTGTCGTCTGTTTTTTTGCTAAATATCATCGCAGCGTGGTTATTGGAGTTGATTTAACGTTCGTTAATTATTTTATTTCCTGGACAAAAATATTTACGCGACAAGAAATTCACTCAATAAATATAGAGGTAAATAGATATTAATCAATTAAACCTAAGCTTAAAAAAAACTGTTCTGAGTAACTATAAATTCTAAGTCGTAATTTTTGTGTTCCATGTAAGAATTTTCTGGTGTAATCGATGGCATAGGCATTAAAATGATTATGATTTGTAAATCAATGCTTGTAGGGATATGTGGCAGGCGTAAGTTGAGTGAACTGCTGTGGAAGAACGTACAAGTGCCTACGTCGTTTCTTGTACCCTAAGTGCGTCAATGCACAAAAACTACGCAAGGAGAAATATGAAATACAACTGCGCGTCACGAGGAACAAAATTTTTGTGAAAACCGTCAAATATTGTCAATTTATATCGCATTGCATCATCAAAAAAAACACTTCGAAACAGCCTCACGAAAACCTACCAGCGGTTTGCACAAGAGGTGGCGGCTGCATTCGCCATCAATATTTCTGTTTTCTCCTTTCGTTTGATGGTTTCGCAACTGTCTGTTTTTGTCACTCTTCCAGTCAAAACAAAGTATTGTTTATTTTACCAGGGAAGGCCCCGCTGAGCAATGTGGCGACCTAGTCGCGAATGATAGCTCAACGAAGTGGCTTATCACGTGGAAATTTAAAGAAACAAAAAAACTCTAAGCGTATGTTGATTTTAAACGTGGAGGGAAAAAACCGGAGGACCCGAGTAAAAATCCATACGACCACGGGGAGAACATGCAAACTACAAATATACAGCAGGCGTCTGGGTCGGAATCGAGTCCACGACTTCCTGTATACTAGGCGAGGCAGATAACATCTCGTTTTTATGCAATGAACAGCAAAATATAAATTATCCTCTTATGCAGTTGTACATGAAGTTAAAAAAATTATTTTAGAGTATTCTTCTTAGACCTGGTGACGTTTAACAGTTTTCCATATCTCATTATTTAATGACATTTTTGTCAAGATGATATATGTTGCAAAATTCATGCTATTTTAATACCACAATTTGCCATTTATGCTAAAGATATCGTGTTCATTTATTTGGAAGATTTTCTTTTATATTATTAAATATTTAGTCCAATTGTTAAAACGCAAAAAATGTGTCTCCCTGCTCAAACAACGCAATGGGAGAGATATAAATTGGTGTTAATTCCACATTCCTATGGCAAAGGTCATTCTATCTATATGATGACCGTCATTGACTTTCTCACAAAGTGGTACACACTTTATTGACTCATGAGGAATGTGCACGTGACACGAACACAACGTTTTTTTATTGCATTTCTAAAATAGATTTTCTCTGTCACAAACAAAACAATCTGCATTCCCATTTAGCAAATGGGACATATCTCGCCAGTCACCTCTCTCCTCGCCAAATGCAGACGGAATAATTGAAATGCCTATTTATTCTGTCAATTATTTCCTCCCACGCATCAAAATAGACAGACAACCGCAAATAATAAGTGATCATCTGACTTTGCAGGCAATAACTAAAATGCACCATTTAATTTCTCTCGAATTATCACTGCTACCAGTGCTTATCTCTTATTTGACTTTAATCGCACAAAGTCGTTTCAAGTGCGATGATTTCGTTATGTTGAACGATGTTGCGTATTTTATTCAATTCTGATGTCGCGCACTGAAAATTAATTTCGCTTCTCGGATTAAGTCATTGATTGGCAAATGGGGTTGAGTAATTGATTTGTAAAGGGGCTTTGTATTCGACGTGCAACAGAAAAAAAACCACCGCAGATTAACTGCTTTTTTGGTGCAATATATCTGTCGTTTCCTCTGATTTTTAAATGTCTTATTACTTTAAATGTCTTATTATTCCATGTTTTTTAAATGTATGAAAAATCCCCCCCTCCCCCCACCCCCTCAGAAACAAGACGCTAGCCGTACAGAATGTTGAATGAAGCCGAGGTTCGCGTTTCGAGCCCCACGGCCGCCCTGGTTAATACCGCGGTCAAATTAATCACGACGAGCCGCCTGCTTTGCGGTGAACATTAAAAGATCCCGTGACGTTATTCTAAAAAAGAAGACCACCGTGTGTGTGCGTGTGCCGGCACCGCGCTCCAAATCTTAAAAGTTAACCGCAAGTTACTTAATTTCGTAAAAACCACAAGGCAACATTGGCCGCTACTACTTATCTGTGAAACGTATATCGCCCTGGTAACATCCCTGCACTATGAGAATGGGGCAAATAGCAAATGCACTCAAATAATATCATGATCATTGCTGTTATTAGGCTGTAATTTTGTTTTTTTTTCAGATACCTCTCTCGAAAGGGAATATTTCCATCCAAATGGTCTCTCACCTGCTGGAAATCGCGCGGCACCGATCCGCTCATCCGGCCACACTTTGCTTCTAGGAGGCGGGCCACAAAGTGGGGGGGGGGGGGGGGGGGGGGGGGGGGCGAGACTGCGGGGGGCGTACGGCAGGGCGTCGCGGCACTCACCTGCGCTGGAAGTTGTCGAGGACGGCCGTCACGACGGGGTGCGTGGCGTAGAGGCGGCCGCTCAGCGCGTCGCGTGCCCGGCCCACGGCGTCGTGCCACGGGAAGCGCTCTCTGCCAGCCGAGTTGGACGGCTGGGAGCCCGGGAACAGCAACACAACGCGTGAAACTCCTCCCGTGCGGTGCGTGAAACTCCTCCCGTGCGGTGCGGTGCGTGCGTGCGTGCGCTCATGCACGCACGCACGCTAAGTCAGCCCCATAGCCTCGCCAGAGCTGGAGGGGGTTCACCCTCCCTCCATCCCCCTCCCACGTCCCCCCACCCCACCACCCACTGAAGGGTCACTCCGCCTGCTCGGCACAAAGGGCGACCACCGCGGAGACGGCGAGGGTGGATCAGCCTCGTGCGCCAAAATCATTTTGTTACGATTGTTTTTGCTCCGCGCGCGGCAGCTGGGCGGTATTGTTAGTGTGCCCGTGAAGTGTATTTGAGAAGGAAATTGCGATGAATGTTAATTGCCCGGAAGGGCAGTTGTACAGGTGTATCCGTGATTTACATGAGTCTGTGTCATTCTGCACCCATAAGTGTACACGTACATGTCGAATATTCAGAGATAGAAGTCGCTGTTGAACAGTTTTAACAACGATACATCAAAATTCGATATATTTAAAAAAAAACATACTATCTTAAGTTAGCATTCTACCAATCACTCCGTCTATTTTGCCATGAGGTGGTTGGTGTACAACAACTGGCCTTCGTATTCAGACAATGGGCGGGTACAATTGTTGTTTTCTTATAATTTCGCGATCAGAACATATTCACCATCTCTCAAATACATTACCCGGCCAGCAATGCAACACACACACGCATATATATGTCTACACATATGAAATAATTTGTATGCATGCATCTGTGCTTTTATTCAATCGCCAGAAAAAGCACTCAACAATGGCTTAATGGCCACTTTGAAATGTGTAAACAGAAAAAAAACACGCCACTCAGATTTGTCTGGGAATATTAAAAGACTCATTAACCACCTCCATCCCCCCCCCCCCCTATCGTTTGGACATCTATTTGTTCATTCAATTGAGCATAGCGTGGGCCGTGCTAAAATAAAGTAAAAACATCCACTTCAACAGCGCAATTTAATTTGACACTGACGAGAAGTTTCATTTGTTTAGTTCTGTGGCGCAACAGTCAGAGTGCAGCAGCTGTGGCAAGGGAGCTTCAACTCGAGAGTCTGTTTCTTTATTTGTTACCATCTCGGCGAACGTCAATCAAAAGCCCGCTTTTGGAAAATTAGTTTGAAAGCGCCGGCTGCGGCGAACGTGGCGATCCGAGCCGGCAGAACTTGCAGAGCTGTACAGCAAAGCAGCCGGCAGATTACGGCGCCCGCGAGGAAATGTTTCCCACGTACCGTGGGGGGAACAACTGCCTTTGAAGGAATGGGTGCGTGGCTCGCGAATCAAATGAGAGAATGCAACCGACACGCTTTTAAACGCGGTTTGCGCAACCTGCGGAACAACCGGCGATCGCCGTTCGTCGCTACAAACTTTCCGAGAGGAAAACACCCTTGCCGATTTGCAAACCACTCGGCGCGTTGTGTGTGTGTGTGTTTGTGTGGCTGCCGGCGGACCTCATTCCGAAGGTGCCATTCAACTGCTCTGGGCGAATGTTCGCCCCGGTTTTTTATTTATTTATTTATTTTCAATACGCAATCCAAATAAATAAACGGCAGGTAATTGAAACGCACAACCTGGATTGTCACGACCGACGAAGTCCGTCCACTACGAGCCACGCATTTCGTGATACCGTTACGGAGTGAACGCTCTCAAGGGGACGGACTGCAACGTTCACAGCCGCGCGGGGGGAGAAGACTCCTCCAACACGATGAACGCCACCGTTGAGCGCAGAGTGTGGAGGTGCTCACCAATAAAGCGCTTTTGCCGTCACGTTTTTAATGAATGTGCCACCTCCCAACATTGTGGAGGACGACATTTCAATTTTCGTTGTGCGGCAAATTAAGTCGGACGATGTGTTTTTTTTTGTTGTATTTTTCATCCGGTTGCGTTCGTATGAATATTTTTATTATAAATTTTCCATGTAGATATATTTAGGTTTGTTTTTCCTTTTGGTTAATTTATGTTCCTGAGTGCCCATTGGGATGCATGACTGCTCTTGAAGGGTGTAGACACGAATTATTTTCTGTAAACAGCGATGATAATTATTTTTTATGAGGAATTGCCTAAACGTCCCAAAGAACATCACCCCGTACACGAGTACCTGGCCTCATTTTAAAATAAATACGAAAATGAGAATAAAACTTTTCCAACATATCAAAATCAAATTAATTTTGTTAAATTAATTTTGGTAAATTAATTTGCAAAATGTTGTTACGAGCAGTTTTTTAATTGATTCGTTTTGCAACTGCTACTTAAAAGGTGCAATCTAAACAAAATATGAATAACCTATACAATATAAAGAATTACTGACAAAAATACATTACGGTTTTTATTTTCATTACACAGCAGAAGGGAATCCATTGCAAATTCCCCCGCATAACTTACCGAATCACTACCGGTCACATCTTTTTAGCCGATCCTGCACAGAGAGATGAGGGGCCACTTGATACCAGCGCATGAGGGGCGATTGAGAACGCCATGCCCTGATAGGGAACTGAAGGTGGTTTCTTTTCTGTATTGGACAATTATATACGATAGTTTTTACAAAAAACATCTAATCCGCGCATGGAAGAGCTCTCCATACTAGTTCTCAAACGAATCGTTCCGCGGCACGCATGAGTTCACTGCCACTCGGAAAATGTTTCAAACGTCGAGCGATTCTTGAACTGTTGAAACACGTGGAAGCCACTGAGAGCCGAGTGTGGTGAGAATGGTTTCTCTCTACATATCCCTTTTTGTAAGGAATTTCTTCATTTACCCTCCAAATGTTTCCGTTTGTTCGAATTCGAAATAAACAAGCAACGTGATTTCAAACACCATTTAAAATCTGAGAGTAAATCGATCTACCTACGGCTCATGCATTTGGTAGCTACTTTTATTTGACGAAAAACAACGCACTGCGCACTGAGCATTTACACGTTTGTTGCACTGCTGACGGTCAGGCCGTGGATATTGAGACCAGCCCTCTTTGTGACAAATTCGATCATTTTTCAAAGTCAAGCCACGGCGCCTTGCGACCACCCCGTTGCGCGCCGAGAGAGCCGGTAATTTGTAATTTGTCGTTAAAGCAATCAACGACGGACCGAGCGTTTACATTTTTCACACGTCGCTGCCGTCACAGGTCAGGCCGTGGGTTTCTGTAGCCACCCCTCTTTGCGAGACACGTGCGCGGTAAAGGGGGTGGGGGGGGGGGGAGGTAAGGGGAGCCGTGGTTACCTTTGGGGGCAGCGCCGCGAGGCCGAGGCGAGCCTGCTCGCGCCGGTCCAGCAGGACGTAGTCGAGGACGGCCTTCTTCGTCGCGCGCTCGTACTCGTCGCTCACCTCCTGCGCCGGCGCGCAAGAACGGGCGAGATGCAGTCACCCCGCCGCAGCCGCCACAGCCACTCCCGGGTGCGTGCCACGCGGCCAACACGATCAGATAATACAAAGATCCCCCGTGTAGCCTGAACAGACTGTTGGGGCAAGTGCTGTTAGCGAGCAGTACCTATGAAGGGCGGCACGGCACGCGAGGGGGTGGGTGGCCAGCACCCGCGCCCGGCCGCCTTTTTCTCCCAAGTGCCGATGTTCACTGAGCCGACATAGGGGAGGCCCAGGACCGGTTCAGATAAACGCCACCGGTGTTGGCCGTGAACGAGAACCGAACTGGGGTCGCCGGGTTCGTCGCGCAGTGTGCTAATCGCTGCGCTCCCCGCTATATGTGCTGTAAGTTCGTGCGTGCATACATACACACCAATATATGTCACTAAACGTCAGGCTGTTCTGGAGTAATCTCAAGATGGAAAGGTTCTGGAAAGTTTACAAAGAATAAACGTAGCCCCCTCGTCGTGGCTCATACACAACGAGGAATGGCGCTAACACCAAAGTGGTTGTTCCATGGCTAGACTGACACCAACCAGAGGAATGTGGAATTTTCAACACAAGCATAGGGCTTGAGGAGTCAGACACACTCCGCATTGACTTTCAAGACAAATATCTACCATTCTATCCTGGTCGTGAGCACCCGTTGAACCTGGCATGGTATTCAAGGGGGTGGTGCGTGCCTACCAGCGTGTGCCTCTTGAGGACTGCTATTAACCAATCCCATTTAACCCCTAGATGACCTCGGAGAGAGAGAGAGCTAAGGCAGTGTCAGGTGCCACTTCCCAGCTATGCGTGTGGCTGAGAATTGCCCCGAGGTCGGCAGGATAAGACGGCAGTGCGCCCACCACTGCGTGACCACTCGTCGCGCGCATGCGCACTCGCTAAAGTGTGCACGCGCATAGACATGCGCACATCCTAAGACAAAGATCGCCTGTACAGCCTGCACAGGCTGTCGGGGCAAGTGCTGTTCGCGAGCACATATGAAGGCCGACACAGCACACGAGAGGGTTACGTAACCGGTGCCATGCCCGGTTGCCTTTGTTTCCCTAGGTACTCATTTCAGGCTGAGTCGACCTAGAGGAGGCCAAAGACTGTTTCAAATATTTGCTGATGATGCTAGCGGTAAAAAGGTATCAAACGCAGGTGGACAAGTCATTAGCGCGCTGCGCAGGCCCGCTGCACAAGTTCCTGCAAACTCGTACCCTAGACGAATAAAAATATCCCCCTTAAAAGCCTCAACTGACTTTTGGGGCAAGTGTTGTTAGCGAGAACTTATTAAGGTGGTGGGTGCCCAGCACCTAGCCCGGCCGCCTTTGTCTCTCTAGTGGCGGTGCTTACATACAAGCACCAGGTACTTATTTGAGGCTGAGGTGATCTAGGGGAGTCCCAGGACCAGTTCAGATAATCGTCACTGGTGAGCGAGAATCGAACTCGGGTCACCGGGTTCATAGCGCAGCGTGCTAACCGCTACACTATCACCCCCACACTCGTATATACATATGTGCGCACAAAGACACACGCACAATCACATGCACGTGTGCACGCGAGCACAACCACATGCGTACACAGACGCGCGCACACACGTGCACACAAATATTAGCTTGCACGCACGCACACGCACCGCACATACACACGTGTGCACACATACAAAGATCCCCCGTATAGCCTCAAGCAGACTGTGGAGGCAAGTGCTGTTCGTGAGCACCTATTAAGGCGAGCACAGCACGTGAAGCGGTGGGTGGCCAACATGCATACATACACGCACACACATACCCACACCAACGTGTATGTAGACACGTGCACACACACGAGACTGGCTGACTCCAAACACTAAATAGATGCCCTTTGCAAGGAATCAAGAACTACATTAACCACACACAGTGCTTGTGGTGAACATGTAAACGAACATGCTCTGATAATATTTGGCATTGTCTTTGAAACTGATTGGCCTACACCAGGTCCCATGATATAGGAAATGATTTGTGCAAAATGTCAAAAGAAATGCACTACGAAATATTTTTTTTGGGTTTTTCAATTCTGCCGAGCTCAGCCTCAACAATTGCCTTCATTCAAGCCCGAGCGTCATTATTCTCGACAGTGAGATGGCACTGATCTCCGTTGGTAGGGTGGAAATTCTACATTCCTATGGCAGGGGCGAGTCTGTGCACTGAACCACTATTGTCAGAGTATCACAAAACGGTACTCGTAGTATCATAGCTCAAGGCTTGATGGGTTTGCATCGACATCTGATCCTGATACAGACTTGCAACCTTCCCAATTGTCACTGCAAAGCACCCTAGTTTCACTGGTATCGTTACGCTGCGTGGATTTAATTTCCCTTTCACAAAATTCCACGTGGCTATTTTGATCCGAAACATGAATACTAATTAATTAAATAAAGCATACAATCGCAACGGACGCACGTGCAACTCAATAATGTGTTTTGGATTCAATATACACAAGGCTCTTGGTGTAATTTGGAACCAAAGATTTGCTGAGCGAATGGGAATCAATTAGTTTTCAGCCACTAATTAAATGGGCACAGGTTTAGGAATACATTTATACATAGAACGATTGCAAATATTTTTTCTCATTTTACTATATACATTCGTTCGCTTTATGTTTCAATGGAGACGGAACCTAATGATGTCTAATGAGAGAATTAAAGTGATATTAAGTACATGCTATGCACACACGGTATAATAATAGTCTCATGTTCTACCAGGAGCATGCAAGACCACGTTGAGTTTTATTTTTAACTCGCGCCAAATGAGTGCTCCGCTACATTTCATTCCGAATATCGCGTGCCAACCATAACATGCAAAAAAAAAACCCTTAATTAGAATTTTAATGATAATGTATATTATAAAACTTATACACAATTTACTTTTATAATATTTTTTATTAAAACATTATGAATACTCGCTTTTTTATATACGCACAAACATAGGCACATATACACACAACACAAACATTATGTCCTGTGTGCATATATAGGTTCTATTCACAAGAAGAATATTGGTTTTACTTTATATACTGTTGGGGGACTTTCCGTCAGCAAGCATCATCGAGATATGTTCAATCCTTTATTATTGCACCTCACCTTTAATTCTAGGCCGAGTCCACCTAAGGGAGGTTCTGTCAGGTTATTGTAAGATTTAACAAAACCTAGACACCAACGAATTTACATTGCAAGCGCGGGCACTTTCACAAATACTCAAATAATTAAAAATGCAGTCTTGTATTATCTTCGAGTGGAAAATCAACAATTTGTAATTTTAACCTGGCGTGTGAATATATGTGACACCTTGTGTGTTTTTTTGCGTGTTTTGAAGTTACAGCAATAACGCATTCTAAGAATACAGAGAAATAACTGTGCTTTACGTATGCCAAACGTGCGAATCAGAGGTGCGGGAGAAAGACAGCAAACGAAAGGCAAATGGCAGCTTCTGAAGGACTGGATATTGAGTCCCTGCTCACGGTACAACTTTCACTTCATTTATCACGCGCACAATTTCATGGAAGGGAGGGGGGGGATGAAACCCCAACAACTTAAAAAAATATATCAACAACACGCTTACACACAAACATACATACTCACTCTCACCGCACGCACACCCACGTTGCAAGCCTAACACATCACCCGATAGCCGAGTGACAATTCCATCAAAACTAACAATGGATTCAAACGGCCGCCACCTGCCTTACCTTTGTCAAGTCGTGCAGTTTGTCCTTCCAGCAGAGCATCAGTGGAACGGGAAGGAGGGACAGCGAGCCTTTCATCCACTCCGGGCACAGCGGGGACAGCATTTGCTGATCTATGGCCGTCTCGATCAAGCCATGATATCTGCAGGGACAGACACACGGCACGAGACATTGATCCTTCCCTTTCTGCCAAGTCGACGCTCTGTTTCCTATCTGTATCCTATCTCTCTCTCTCTCCGCCCTCTCTGCCTCTTCACTTCTTCCCCTCTCTCTCTCTCTCTCTCGCTCCGTCTCGTTGTTTTCATTTCGCGAGGCGCGTCTCGATCCAAGGACGCTCAATTATCTTTACGCTTTGCCGCGCCTCCCCCTTTTCTGTCGGTCCAGCGCCACGGGCGAAGCGCGCCGCCTCTCCGGTGAGCGTCCGCGTCCGTCTCGCCGCGCGGGCTTAAGAAAGCCTCGCCGCTCTGCCGTGATACCGAAGGCTTTCATCTTTGGCCCAGGGGAGGGTGGCGGTGGGGGGCAGGGGAGGAGGAGCGATGGAGTGGAGGGGGGGGGGTAGAGGGAGGGAGGGCGAGATGGGGGGGGGGGCAGGCAAAGGGCTAACAGCTCATGGCACACCGCGGCTACTCGTTCCATCCACATCATGCCCACCGCTCAGGTGGTCGTCTGGGCCAACCCAAGTCATTAATACGTGTCAAAGCAATCCCAAATCTATATATATAAATGGGAGAATGGGGGGGGGGGGGGACCCAGCAAAGTTCTCAGACTGCTGATATTGAAATGAAACTTGGGCGAGCAATGGTGTGGCAGTGGTGCGAAAGCACTGACTGAAAAACATCCTCGCCAGCAATAACTCCCACTTAATGAACACTGCTTCACAACAGAAATACAGCTGGGCAGCGTCGCACTATTTTGAGTGCTCGCCACTCGCCATCCGCAGGTTGCGAGTTCCTATTCCAGTCGGAGCGAATCTGAGCTCATTATCCCTCTCTGCGGTCATTAAAATAGATTCCACTCTGTGAGAAATATTCACGGCTTGTCCTATGGAGAGAGAAAAAAGAAAAACTTGTCCCTTGCCATAGAAATATGGAAATGCCACCACTGGTTCAGGGCAGGTAATGGAACGTGAGGGCTGCCACTTTGCTCACCCGAGCAGAAAAAAACACTTTGATTTGATTAAATATAATTTAGCAAGCCGAACATTTCAGACAATGGTACTCGTTCTTCTTTGTAATAAATAATCTTTTATATTCTTGGTTCTTTCGGTAAAGTCACAAGTCAAATAATAAAAATATAAAACAACAAAATATTTTTATTCTTTTATTGTTTCCCTTCTACGTGACTTTAGCGAAAGAACCAAGAATATGAATCCCTGCAGTCACGAAAGCTTTAAATCAAAAAATAATCTTTTGTTTTGTAAGACGGTGTGAGTGATGACAGAGGTGAGATTTTCCAGTCTACGCTTTAGTAGCTACGCCTGCATATAAATATTCGTGTATATTCCCTCACTTTATCGTATCTGCTTCTTAATTCTGCACCCTCAGAATATTATCGCTGCACGCATGCACGCCCAAATCGGTAACGCTAAATGAGGAGCTTTTGTTTCCGTATAAATCGAGACGGATAAGTGCGCACGCACGCACGCACGCACAAACACATAAAAGCTAAGATAAAGATCCCCCATGCATCCTCAAAAGACTCTTGGGGAAAGTGCTCTTAGCGAGCACCTATCAAGGCCGAGCTAAAGGCATTCTGGAGAGCAACTTGCTCAGCCGCCTTTGTCTCAAGCGAACACATTTCTTTCCCCGAAGAGCTTGCCCCCACGTCTTGGAAATACGCCACAAAGCAATAACCGTGAGCGCCTCGCAATGCCTCCGTACAGACGCAAACGAATGCCAACGCGAACGCTCGCACCCACGGCAGGGACTCCGCACGATCACTCGACGTTAAAAAAAAACACACACACACAAGACGCGTGTCCCACTCGAACTACGGCCACGCTGTTGGGGATTGCGTTGACCGTGAGCACCTACGAAGACTCGAGGAGGTGTTCTCGTGCCCTTCGTCGCTGCTGCGCATCACAAGGAATCGAAGCCGCGTCACAAAACCCGTCGCGCAAACTTAAGGACCGTGAACACTGCCGGCGAGGGCCTATTAAGGTCAACGCCTCCGATTAGCGCGGTTGGCTACGTACGATGCGAAAGAAGTTCGGCATGCAACATGAAGCACGGCAAGTATACCAGTAGTAGGTCGCGCGGTAACACCACCGCCTCGTGCATTCGCCCCTCGAGTACTGGCGGAATGTTTCTATCCAGTACCAATGTTCACACGCACATGCACACACTTTTACCAAGTACTTTTTGAAGGCTGAGTCGACATAAGCAGCATCCCAGGACAGGTTTCAGACATCGCTTTGCCGCTGATGCGCACGGGGTATGATGGAAATACGATGAAAGCAGACGCGCGCGTGATGTGCTAACAAAACACAGGCACACAACGGGCACAAACGGACACACGCCGGCACACAGGGACTAGCGTGGCGGAAGCACCGATAGTGAGCGCTGTGTATAGGAGAGGGCAGCATACCAGACGGCAAGTACTTGCATTGCATTTCACGCGAGTTTACCTAGGGAGGGCCCAGGACAAGTTCACATACCAAGTAATGACCACCATATCTAATAGGGGAACTTTTTTGCCAGTAGCAAAATGATGCGGAAAAACGAAGAAAAGCCTTTATCCTTACTGGCAATGAAGCCTATTCTCATGTTTTCATCACTTTGATACTGGCAAAACGGTCCCATAGATATAACCGCCTAACCCGAATTCGTAACGCTTTGATACTTGCATCTCCTTTGTGCTGTTCGCCTGTTGGCGTTCTCTGGTCGAACCCTGGTGAGACAAGGCCATAAAGAATGCTGCCCTCCGGTGTAGGCCAATCAGTTTTCAAAGGCGATGCCTATATATTATCAGACCATGTCTGTTCGCATGTTTAGCCACGTGCATGTGCGGTTAATGCAGGCTTGATGCCTTGCAATCGTCTTCTATTTGGCGTTTGAACGGTTCATAGCCAGGAAGGGTAAAACCTATTCTTCTCATCACCACCAGTGTCCATGGTCAAGAAATGAGAATGGGGCGATCGCGCACTTTCTTACACACGTGTGCACCAGCAAGCACACGACAGACGTGATTGACAAAAACAGACGAAAGTGAAAGTGCCCCACATTAGCCAGTGCTGTTAGCGAGCACCGATGAAGGTTGGGACGACGGCACATTGGAGGGGATGGGTGGCCAACACCACGCCCGGCTGCCTTTGTCTCTGCAGCCCTGGGATGCTTAAACATCAGTGGGAATCCAACTCGGGTCACCAGTTCAAAATCGATTGATTTACACACTCTGCACGCTCAAAAGAGATCCACCTCATGTGCAGGCATTCTTGAGAACAATCCCGAGATTGGGTGGATACATAATGAGGTTTCAAGTGCCATTCTCGATATGCAGACATGTGCGACTGCAAGAGAATTAAAACTCTGCTGTCATGATCCAAAGGCACAGCCTTTGGATCATGACAGCAACGTCTGCATTAGGCTGATGTCTTCTTCATACGAAACCGTGTTACGTTCAATATAGAGACAGGATTGGTATTTGAACAAAAGTCACTAATGCCACCACAACTTGCCATCCCACCCTTCCTCCTGTTAGATCGTGCAGATGTTTAAAAATTGCCATGCCACCTACAAGGTCTGCCCCTGCGGAACATCTCCATCTGGCGTTTGGTCTCCCCTTTGTCGCAGTCTTCTGGATGCCACTCTCATCACCTGCCAGGGCACGCTACCCTCCTTGAAAACTTTCAGAGTGCTCTCTGGACACATACAAAATCTTTATTCCAAGTGGCCCACCCTATCCTGACATCATATTACCAGAATGCTCCACGTACCTCGATATGAAGGGCGCAGGCTGCTCCTCTAGGAGATTTGGTAAACGTTCGCTCTGTACATATCTCATCTAAACAGATAGTCCAGCGGTTCGCATACGTTGAGTGTGCGAGTTCAAATCCGTGTTGACGAAATGAGTACGACTTTTTTCGAAAGCTAATAGCAATTGGTCTACACACTCAGCCCTGACATTGTAATGTGGGCGTCACGGTGGCGAGAAGTTAACTCCCTTGCCTGGTATGCAGGAGGTCGTGGGTTCCATTCCTGACCCTGATGCCTGTATATTTGGAGTTTGCGTGTCTCTCTCCCGGTAGTCACTTGGATTTTTCGCCAGGTCCTCCGGTTTTTCCCTCCACAATTAGCAGCATGCATTTAGTGTATTTGGTTGCTATACATTTCCACGTGATAAGCCAATTCATTTGAGCTATCATTTGTGGCCAGGTCGCTTCTGAATAACAGCTATATAGCTCAGTGGGCCTTACCTGATAACATACAAAATAGTTCCACATTCCAATGACAGGGGTGTCAATACACTCCAAATGTGACGAGTGCCTCCGAACGCCCCGCTCCTTTAATCGACGTGTGCGGCGCGTCCAGAGCCCAGACGTAAATTGCTGGTGTGGAATTCCTCATTCCTGCGCCGTGTTCGTGAAATATACTCAGGGACAGATGCGCGCACACGAGCAGCTCCCCCCGGGGGAGAGTTTGCACTTCCAATTGGCCGCTGCAAGAGCGCTCGTGCTAAGGGTTAGGATTGGTGACGGACGCTGGGCTTATTGCCCCCATAGGAGGCCGGTGGCGCGCGGGCGACGCTCATAATCCGAGCGCATCTCCTCCATTAATCCTGCGAGGATCCTTATCTCTGCCCGGTGGCTCGCTCCAACACTTTTGAAGGTCAGGACGTAGGCAGCGCTCACGCCGTCAGATAAAGCGACAAGGGTTGCCAAGTCTCGAGCGAGGTCTGCGTTAACGCTATCATGGACAGCGTTGTGCGTGTGTGCGTGTGCGCGTGCGCGTTCGTCTTTGCATCGGGCGGGGAGCGATAGTGTGGCGATCGGTGCACTGCCCGACAACCCCGGCAGCCTGGGTTCGATTCGCAGCCGTGCAAAACATCGACAAGTGCCGTTTAAGCCCCTGCGATGTACGGCCCCCGAAAGCACACGGAGCTTTGCGGCGCGGCCGCGTAAACCTACGCTCCCTACTGTGTGCT